CGAGTGTTGGGGGCGGGGCCCACCCCCCGGTTCGAAACGCGCCGCCGAATGTTCCCAAGGCAAGCGCCCGTGAAGCGCGTCTCTGAGATAGCCACGTCCTGTTTTGGCGCGGCACGGGGTCGACGGCATCATGTCAGACATTTTCTGGATGTTCTCGTCGCCACGGCCGGACGCAGCTCGAAAAGCTGGCAGGATGGACTCCGGGAGGGGCCTGGGGGCCGATTGGGAAGGCCTTACGGCTGGTGCCGCCGACCCTGAAGGGGGACGACGACGACGACGACGACGACGACGACGACGACGACGACGACGACGACGACGACGACGACGACGACGACGACGACGGCGACGACGACGACGACGACGACGAGACGACGACGACGAGACGACGACGACGACGACGACGACGACGACGACGACGACGCTGACGCTCTGGAGCCTTTCTTGGGGCTCTCTTGGGGGCCTCTTGGGCTCTGTTGCGAGGCCTCCTGGGGGACTGTTTGGGAAGCCCCAGTGTCACTTGGAGCCGCCTCGCAGCGGATCTGAGACCTCGTGGAGGCATGTGGGAAATGCGCAGAGACCCCCAACAGCAGATAAAGAAGGAGGAGTCTGCCTCCTGGAGGAAGCTGGGGTGGTGAGGGTCCCCTTGTCCACAGGAGGGAGGAGGTACTGAGCTCCCCTGCCCGTGTCCCCCTTCTCCACAGGGGGGACTTCCCGGGGGGGCGGTCACGACCCCTGGGACCCCCCCCCCTTCCGGGACCCCGGGGATTTCAAGGAGAAATGGCGGTGGCGCGAGGGGGGGGATCGCCTTCGAAGAAGGCCGGGTGGGGCCTCTTCGGAGGCAGGGGCCTGCTTGGAAGGGCCTGGGGCCGTGAGAGGGCTCCCTGGACGCCGGGAGGGCCTCCAGGAAGCCCCGCGCCTCCGTAGAGGCCCCCGTGGGCCCCCTTGACGAGGCCGCCCTCCCTCCTGCGCGCGACCTTGCTTCTTCCCCCGCTACAGTCGGGCCGCTGCAGAAGGAGCCCTTTTCGTTTGGGGGGGGCGCCAGTGCTCCTTCATTGCGTTCCAGGTTAGCTGTTGTTGTGTTTCCCGGAAAGGGCTCCGGCCCAGGGTTTTGTTTTAGTTGGTTCACCCCCCGGCCCCGACGGGAGGTGGGCCGGCGGAATTGTCTTGTGATAAATTTCCAAGTAAAGTGTGAATTTGCAGTTGGACAAGAGCGTTTCTCGTGTGCCCGCTCGAGGAAAGTTTGCCCCCAGGGTCCGCAGACCACCGTTTTCTTTGTAAGAAAGTGGGTGCGGCGCGTTTTGTGCGGAATCCACGAGAAATAGCGAGGTCTGGAGACCCGACCAATTCGTGAAAAAGGCCACCCAGGAGGTATCTAACATGGTGGTCCCGAGCTAGGGTATCGAACATGGTGGTCCCGAGCTGGACTCACGTGTTTTCACTTGTCCAGCCCACCCAGGGGAGTATCTAACATGGTGGTCCCGAGCTGGAATCACGTGGTTTTACATGTTCAGGCCACCAAGGGGGGTATCTAACATGGTGGTCCTGCGCTGGAACCGCGTGTTTTCAAATGTCCAGGCCACCCAGGGGGGTATCTAACATGGTGGTCCTGTGCCGGAACCGTGTGTTTTTACGTGTCCAGGCCACCCAGGGGGGCATCTAATATGATTGTCCCCCGAACTGGAACCACGTTTTTTACGTGTCCAGGCCGCCCAAGGGGGATATCCAACATGGAGTCGGGCCCAACGCCGAATTATCAGGAAACGCACGGGGGGCCGAAAAGCGCTGACTGAACACATATCCGAATGCAGAAAAGTAATGTTCTCTTGCTCTGTACAGGGGGGGGCGCTTTGGGGGCCTCTCCAGGGAAGACATTGCGAGGATGGCTCGAGCGGGAGCGCGAATTCAGCGTATCCAGGCCGCGCAGGGGGTATCTAACATGGTTGTCCCGAGCTGAAACCACGTGTTTTTACATGTCCAGGCCACCCAGGGGGATATCTAAAATGGTCGCCCCGAGCTGGAACCACATATTTTTACCTGTCCAGGCCAGTTCGCCCAGGCAGATGTCTAGCATGAGGTAGCACGTCCATTGGCACGTTCCGTAGCGCGTCCCCTTGGCACGTTCCGCGGCGCGTCATCCTGGCATGTTCCCTTGTCAATTAGCTCTGAGGCAGTTACTATGTGCTCAGGCAGCTCGAGCTTAAGATCCAGATCAGTTCGGTCAGGACTCGGATGCAAAGGAGGACTCGATCCACAACGCTATAGAGCACAATCGCTGCATGGCACATCGCAATTCAGCACGGCGCTGCACAGCACAGCCTTCGGCACGGTACATTAAGATCGATACATTCAGCATTGCGTTTGCCCGTCGCCCAATCAGGTGTCTTTGAAACGTTGCCAGGGTTCTGTTTTAGAAGTTTCCCCCTGGCCCTACGGGAAGAGGGCTGGCAAAATTATTCCGTGATGCATTACGAGGTAAAGTGAGAATTTTCAGTTGAACAAATGCGTTGTTCGCGTGCCCGCTCGAGGAAAGTTTGCCCCCCATCTCGGATCCTCGAAAAATAACGGGGTCCGCAGACCACCGTTTTCTTTGTAAAAAAGAAGGTGCGGGGCATTCTTAGCAGAATCATAGAAAAACTGAGGCTTGGAGCACCGACCGCGACGCAGAAAAGCGTCCCGCGCGCAGGAATTCTAAGGATGTCTCGCGCGTGCCGCGTCCCGCGCGCAGGAATTCTGAGGATGTCTCAATTCATTCGCTTGTTTGTCCAGGGTTTCCTTGGCCACACAGGGGGGCCACACAGGGGGGTATCTAACATGTTCTGCCCGAGCTGCAACCACGTCGCTTTACGTGTCCAGGGCACCCAGTTGGGTATCTAACATGGTGGTCCCGAGCTGGTGCCACGTTTTCCCGTGTCTAGGCCACACAGGTGGGTATCTAACATGGTGGTCCCGCGCTGGAGCCATGTGTTTTGACGTGTACAGGCCTCCCAGGTGGGTATCTCACATGGTTGTCCCGAGCTGGAGCCATGTGTTTCACCTGTCGAGGCCACCCAGGGGGTGTCTAAGATGGTGGCCCCGCGCTGCAACCACGTGTTTTCACGTGCCCAGGTCGCCCAGAGTGTGTATCTAACATGGTGACCCCGCGCTGGAACCGCGTGTTTTCACGTGTCCAGACCACCCAGGGGGGTATCTAACATGGTGGTCCCGAGCTGGAGCCACTTGTTTTTACGTGTCCAGGCCACCCAGGGGGTATCTAACATGGTGGTCCCGAGCTAGAACCACGTGGTTTCACGTGTCCAGGCCACCCCGGGGGTATCTAACATGGTGGTCCCGCGCTGGAACCACGTGTTTTCAAATGTGCAGGCCACCCAGGTGGGTATCTAACATGGTGGTCCCGATCTGGAGCCATGTGCTTTTACTTGTCCACGCCACCCAGGGGGGGATCTAACATCGTGGTCTTGCGCTGGCACCGCGTGTTTTCACGTGTCCAGGCCACCCAGGGGGGTATCTAACATGGTGGTCCCGAGCTGGAGCCACGTGTTTTCACGTGTCCAGGCCACCCAGGGGGTATCTAACATGGGCCTCCTGGATCCTTCCTGGGACTCGGAACGGAACGTCGAGAGTTTATGTGTATGTGGTATCGATTCGTTGACTTTTTGGCCTCCAGGCGCTTCTGGGCGTGGGCGTTCCTGGGCCATCCTGCGCCCCAGACGACCGCATGTTAGATATCCCCCCTGGGTGCGCTGGACCACGTGCTTTTACGTGTGCAGGCCACCCAGAGGGGGTATCTAACATGGTGGTCCCGAGCTGGAGCCATATGTTTTGACATGTCCAGGCCACCCAGGGGGGATATCCAACATGGTTGTCCCGACCTTGAACCACGTGTTTTTACATATCCAGGCCACCCAGGGGGGTACCTGATATGATTGTTCTGAACAAGGGCCACGTGTTTTATAGTGTCCAGGCTACTCAGGGGTGTATCTAACATGGTTTCCCAAGCTGGAACCACGTGTTCTTATATGTCCAGGCCATCCAAGGGGATATCTAACATGGTTGCCCCGAGCAAGGACAACGTATTCTAACGTTCCGTAGCGTGTCCCCTTGGCATGTCCCGCGGTGCGTCCCCATGGCACGTCCCTTGGCACGTCGCCTGGCGCGTTCCTTGTGACGTTCCGCAGCGCGTCCTGCTGACATGTCCCCCTGTTAATTAGCTATGGGGCAGCTACTATGTGCTCAGGAAGCTCGAGCATAAGATCCAGATCAGTTCGGTCAGGACTCGGATGCAAAGGAGGATTCGATCCACAACGCTATAGAGCACAATCGCGGCATGGCACATCGCAATTCAGCACGGCGCAGCATAGCACAGCCCTCGGCACGGTACATCAAGATCGATACACTCAGCATTGCAACTTGGCACGTTCCGTGACGCGTCCCGTGGCGAGTCCCTTGGCACGTCGCGCGGCGAGTCCCTTGGCACGTCCCGCGGCACGTCCATTGGCACGTTCCGTAGCGCGTCCCCTTGGCACGTCCCGCGGTGCGTCCCCCATGGCACGTCCCCTGGCACGTCGCCTGGCGCGTCCCTTGCGATGTTCCACGGCGCGTCCTCCTGGCATGTCCCCTTGTCAATTGGCTCTGGGGCAGTTATGATGTGCCCAGGCAGCTCGAGCTTGGATGCAAAGGAAGACTCGATCCACAACGCTATGGAGCACAATCGTGGCATGGCACATCGCAATTCAGCACGGCGCTGCATAGCACAGCCCTCGGCACGTTACATCGAAACCGATACATTCAGCATTGCATTTGCCCGTCGCCCAATCAGGTGTCTTTGAAGCATTGCCATGCCTTACATTTCTAGATTCCTTTCTGGGTGTGTGGGTCGATCATGTTGAGTTCTCTACGGGAAATCGAAGTTTAATTTATGGGAAAAGGCGCCTCGTTCCTTACGTTGGCTTCCTTATGACAGCGAAATCCCATCAAAATCGGCCCCCTTATGACAGCGCAGTCCAGGACGTGTGCTCGAGGCCGACCTAGACGCTGACAGGGACCTCTGGCGGCCAGGATGGCGTACGGCCGACGCCGCTGCGCCCGAGCCACCCAGGCCAGCATACGATGCAGAAGGGCGCCGATGGCTGCTGAGTTCCTCCGGCCCAGGCTCCCCGTGGTGCAAATGAGCGAGAAAGGAGCGCAAGCGCGTGCGGCGTGCCCGAGCATGAGTACCTCTGGCGGCTGCGTGAGCGGGCTCGGCTGCGAGCCGCGCATGAGGCGCTGTCCAGCTGTCTCGTCGCAGCGTGTTTTCGAGGCGCCGCGCAGCCAGAATTACGTTTTGCGACTCCCCATTCTCTCTCTCCCTCTCTCTCTTTCTCTCTTCCTCCTTCTCCCTTGAACTGCAGTTCCTGCATGGTTGTGCCGACAAAAAATCGCCCCCCCCCCCCCGGAGCCCTTCCGGATCCACCCTGGCCAGTGTTTCGGACTGCTTCCAGCCGTGGCGACGAGGGCCCCCAGAAGCGGCCGAAGGTCCCGAGGCCAGGCTGTCGAATTCGTGCTGCGCTGTCGCCGGCCCCGGAACGAGGCGTGCGCGCCGCCGAACCTTGGGGCCCAGGATGGCTCCTGCCAGGCACGGTGGCCTGCATGGCTCGTTCCAGAAGCCCTACAGTTCGGGGCCCTGAAGCAGGAACCCTTTTCGTTGGGGAGGGGCCCCGTGTTCCTCATCTGTTTCGCAGCTTGCCTTAGCTCTCCCTTAGGCCTTCGGTCTGAAATCGAACGAAGTTTAACTTATGGAAAATAGGGACCTCGTTCCTTATTTAGGGCTCCTTAGGTCCTCGTGGCGATGGAGTTCTCCCCCGTCCCCCTCCTCCTCCTCCTCCTCCTCCCCCTCCTCGTCCCCCTCCTCCTCCTCCTCCTCCTCCTCGTCCCCCTCCTCCTCCTCCTCCTCCTCCTCCTCCTCCTCCTCCTCCTCCTCCTCCTCCTCCCAGAGTGTGCGTCCCTTGGAGGCCCGACTTCTGACTCTGCCAGCTTCCGCCGTCCGCCGGCGGAGCCGCCCGCGCGATGCTCGAGCCGCCTGCCGCCGAGGAGCAGAGGCCCACTCCCTCGATCCCTCGAGGGCGAGGCCCTTTCTGTTGCCTCGAGTGCACGCCAGTCGTTGAAGGTAGAGGAGGAGGAGGAGGAGGAGGAGGAGGAGGAGGAGGAGGAGGAGGAGGAGGAGGAGGAGGAGGAAGGAGGAGGAGGAGGAGGAGGAGGAGGAGGAGGGGGAGGGGGAGGGGGAGAAGGAGGGGGAGGGAGGAGGGAGGAGGAGGGAGGAGGGAGGAGGGAGGAGGCTCCCAGACCCCAGTCCGCTTCAGGCGCCTTCCTGCTTCAAGGAGATCGAGCTGCCTCTGCTGTGTCTTGCTGGCCTCTGGGAGGGCCTGAGCCCAATCGACTTGATCCGCCTTCCTACTTCATGTTTTTACCTACTTCCTCCGACCGGCGTGTAGCCATGGCTCGTTCCAGCAACGCTTCCGGCAAGAGCCCCCAGGAACGCGCCGCCGACTCCCGGCCCCGCTCCAGGCGGGGCGCTCGTCCGCGCGCGGCCGGAGCGCGACTCGTTTCGGGGCTCGCCGACTGGCTGCTGCGATGCTCCTCGCTAGACCCTCGCGTTTTCGCGTCCCATACTGAAGCATTCGTGCTGCCGCCGATTCAGCAGATTGAGAGAGAGAGGGAGAGAGAAAGAGACAGAGAGAGAGAGGGAAGCACACACACAGAGACAGAGAGAGAGAGGGAAGAGAAAGGGAGGGAGAAGGAGAGATAGAGGAAGAGGGAGAGGGAGGTCTGCAGCATCTCGTCCATGACAGGCGCGGTCACTTGGAATGGCCAGCGCACTTTGGCGATTGATCCCTGAGGCGGCAGCTGCTTGTGTGGTCGTTTGCGCTGGAAAGAAGCAGAAATTCAGGAGCTCCCCGACGCGCTGCGGGCCGCGCACGTCTCGCTGGAGGAGTCCCTGCGCGAGGGCGCGCTGGTGGACCTGGCGGTGGCCGCGCTGAGGCCCTTCGCCAAGTCCGCCGCGCTCCTTGAGGTCGAGTCGTTCCGCCACTCAGAGGCGCGCGCCTTCCGGGGGGGGGTCAGGAGCAACAGACGGGGGGGATAGGCTCAGGGGGCGCCGGTGCTCGGGGGTTTCTCTTGTCTCGGGATGCTCTCCAGCAGCTGCACTTCGCCGAGGGCGCTCCAAAGGTGCCCAGATCGGCCCGATCGGCCACCGAAGTCCCGAGTCACGACCGGGCAAACCAGACGACGATCGGATGATGATCGCAGCACCCGGCTCGATGAAACACCGACTTGGGCGAGGCAGCTGGGAGGGAGTCGGACGGGGCTGGGACGAAGATAAGTCCGTTCCAGAGCGTTCCGGGACGCTCTGGGAGCGTTCCGGGACGCGCCGCGCCGGAGACATCCCCCAGAGCCGCTGGATCTCAGAGATTCTTGATTTATGCTCACCCGAATGTGGCCGCATTCATCCTGGCTTCGTCTTAGAGGGAGAGGGGTCGAGAGTCCGAGGATCGAGACTCGAGCCTCGAGGGTCGAGTTCTTTCGCCCTCTTGGGGGGGGGGGCCTCGGGCGGGCCTCGCGTCGCTGCGGCCGGGCTCCCCTCGAGGCTCTGGCCGGAGCGCCCCCCCCACGAGGGGTGCGGGAGGGGGGAGGCTTCGACCCCCGGGGCCATGGAGAGGAGGGACCCTGGAGGGAAGGGGCCCTGGGGAGGAGGAGGAGGAGGGTGTGAAGATGCAGCTTCTGAGATAGGCGCTGATATTTTCCGTATGTCGCCTGAGACTCAAGGGCCCTGGGAGCCGCAATGTTTACGGATAAGAAACAAGTGAGACGAGGGCAAACGCTGGGCTATCCAGCACTCTCGCTTTCACACTGGTTCTAAAATTATGTTGCCCCTTGTCGATCAAGAAACACAAACACGGAGGGCACGGCAGCGTGCTAAACATCAAAACTCCCAGGTTCCGCAGCGGGCGAAATCCGCCGTCTCAAAAACAACAGACAGCAGTGCAAACAGTTTGCAAAGGAAAAATAAGCAGGCAGCCGATGGGCTTCGTAATATGGAAAAGGGATAGTAGGCTCACGTTATCAATATCTGTCCACTGCACGCACTCAGCATCGCATTCGAGTCGTGGTCGTTCTTAGGCGGGGTGTCTTGGTGATACGTGATAACTCCATCTATCGACTTCCTGATCTGCGATCCATCCATTCGTTTAGTTAGCGCATCGGCTAGCATATATTTAGTAGGACACCAAGCCAAAGGCAACTTGGATTTAGTAGCTGCGGCAACTTCTTCCACAATCTATTCCTCCATGAGTTCTCGTAGTCCGATCGAATCTAAAACCAATCTACGCTCAGCTGGAAGTTTAACAGCTCCTTCTCGGTGAATTGTATCATATAAAGAAGCACAGTCCGTTACACACTGAATCGGGCATAAGGTAGGATCGATGCTGTCGATACTCATATCCGGAAGTAAAATATTAAGAACTGAAGCTCGCATAACTATAGCTGCTCCCATAGCATCCACTGCACTCATAGTCTCTGCTGCAAGTGTGCTTCGGCATACCCTTCGAATTGTCGCTGACGTCCAGTCAACCAAAGCTGCCTTGCCTTCTCCGTCCTAGATGATCCTCTTTTCGGCCACGAATAACAGAAATCCCGCCTGGCTCTTAGCCTTGAGCCTCTTCGGAGCCTCCGAAGCGTAGGCGGTGCGCATGCGGCGTCGACACCACCAGGCGGTGCCGGCTACCTTGTCGTCTGGCTCGTCCACGTTGGCCCACGCAGCGTCATGGAACACTAGAATGCAGAGCTCGCCCTGCCACTTCGGGATCGCGATGGCGGTCTCATTGTAACGCTTGGCCTCGGATACGATGCGATTCGTCTCGATCAGGTCGGCCACCGTCGGTGAGTTCTGTACTCTCTGAGCCATCGAAACTCCCGCAGCTAGGTCTGGTCGAATCTGCGTAGCGAGCCAACCCAAACTGCCAATCAAGCTCCGGTTCTCGGCGGTCTCGATCTCAGTGGCAGGGCATCCTAGATTTCGCTTGCGCTCCTTGGTCAACTCGAGCGGTTCTACCTTCTCGGCGAATACTGACTGGCTCATTCGAATCGCTCCGTCTGAACGCTGGACAACATCCTTAGCGCAAAAGGTGAAATCTAGCCCTTGCCAACCTCCGAACGGAAACAGCTTCTTGATTATATCATAGCTGGCTTGAGTACTGGAAGCAATCAGTGAATCATCCACGTGGACACAGACAATAGCTTGCAGAGTTCCGTCTGAACCATGTCCCACAAATAAAGTTGGATCCACCAAGTTTTGAACTAAGTGGAACTTGTGGCCGTCCTTGCTCACGAGCTCAACCTTAAGCAGTGCGTTCTTGAGAGTAGCCCACCACTGTCGTGTGGCAGTCGCCAGTCCAAAAATGCCCTTGACGATACGTAATGCTTGTCCTGGTTGAAGTCCTGGTAGACCTTGGGGCGGCTGCTCCATGAAAAGAGGTTTGTCTCTGGGCTGCTCTTCTCCCTGCATGAACGCGGACATGATGTCGGCACACACTGGGCTCCAGTCGAAACGTGCCGCCACGATAAAGAACAGTAGCGAACTGGTTCGCGTCACTGTAGGAGCGTCTGTCCGTAGAGCTCCTGTCTGTAGATCTGGATCACGATGTCCTCCAGCACATAGTCGAGCCTTGGCCTTCACCGGCACGGGGTTAGCTTCGGTGCGGATATTGGCGTTCTTGCCACGGAACACGAAGCGAAACGGCAGGAAGCGGTTGCTGACATTCTCGGTCCGGGCTTGTCGAGATTCCTCCAGTGAAAGCGCCTCCACGGAACCAAACTTCTTCCATTCCTCCCAGTGCTCGGCGATGGCTTTTCGGTAGAGTGGCTTGTGTTCCGCGGGGATGTCCTTCCAAGCGATCTCTTTGTCTTGAAGCTTATTTCTGAGCCTTTCGCTCTGAGCTCGAGCTCCACGAAGCATTGCTGCGAAGCTGGAGTTGGTTGTAGTACCCTGGTCGCTGTCATCGGTGATGCTGACGATGTAAGGCTGCCCCGCTCGTCGAGCGGCTTGTCGTCCAGCGATGCGGTGGGCAGGTTCTTCTTGTTGTGGACTCCCTCGAATGCAATGTGGTGCGTCATCGAGGGGGCTTTAGACTGCTCGGCGTCGCTGAAACTCCTCGCGGTTCCAGTCGTCGTAGTTGGGTACAGGGTTGTTTTGTACTTGTCCGGGTGTCTGTGTTGAAATCGGGGTAGGCGATAATGAGGGTGCGTCAGCTTGACCAGATGGGAGCTCCTCTGCAGGTGAGAGCTCAACATCATCACGAACTCCTGATGCATCCTCGGCGGGGGCTCCTGCAGCATCCGCCTCCATCTCCACAACTTGTTCTTCTTCTGCTGCTGGCGGT